GTGTATATAATAAGCAGTTTAATGAGCTACTCTGAAATTTAGTAATTTAATTTGCTGTCACTTTGTTTTTTCGTGAATTATCAAAATTATTATTGATCTAAAAGACCTCATTACGAGGAAAACGTATGGTAATTTCTTCAAAAAAACAAAACAAAAAAAAAGGAAAAGAAAATCTATAGCGCGCAATGTGGCAAGTTAAAAATATAGTTTAACTTTTTAATTATGCGGACCAGGAGGCCGAGCGATTAGCGCGCCTGATTGCGAAGCCAATGGCTGCGGGTTCGAATCCCGCTCTGGTGATGGATGTTTCTCTCTCTTGTGTTGTCCTCTGTTGTGTGTGATGTGTGAATGTTGTTCACCCTATAAACAGGTTTACGGTAGTGTGGCGTGGGTAATATTGCTCGCCTCCGTGACTTTGGTTCACAGGTGCCCACTGGGTAACGTGAAATGAGTAACAATTCCGGCATCTTCTAAGCCGAAGAATAATGTTCAGCGCCTGCCATTTGAAAAAAAAAAAAAACTTTTTAATTATTGAAATTAAATGTACGTCTTCAAGTTTAGACGATTCTTTTTTTGAGCAATATAGTATTCATAGTTTAAGATAATAGATTTCGTTCAAGTATTCATATTGTGTTTTTTATTTGCCTTAACGAAGGAGCATCCCGAAAAGAACTATCTTAATATATCGGAAATCATTATAATAATTCGTCAATTTATAAATCGCAATAGCTATACCGTGTTAAATAATGGGGTTTCGAGTAGTTCCTCTGAAACATGAAATTGTTATTTTACTTCGGGTGTATTTTGTCGTTGAAATATTATTCATTGTCAATGACATATTTACAAAAGTATTTAGAAGATAGAAGAAGAAAAACTGCCGGTAAATATGCAACAAAATACTGAGATATAATCTAATAGGGCATCTTATTATTCACCTGAAAACTTAATCCAAGGAATTATGAAAATTTATAGTTTTGTCTGCTGAAAGTATTTAGTTATGCATATGGAATCCCCATAAAATGATATTGCGAAGGTTGGTCATAAATTTGACAGTCAAAGTAGTTTCTTGGTTTGGAGGAAAAAAAATATACGATTTTTTAGATTAAACGGCCTCAGGAGATTTAGATAATAATATTTTTTCATTTTTTTTTTTGGAAAAGATGTTATGAAGTGAAGGTGTGGAGTCTATCTGTAGTAAATGTTATTTGGGGACATATTTTTTAGTCTTTTAGAGCGGAGGTTTCCAAAAGATGTTCCTTGACTTAGACTTTTCTCGCTTAGCAATAATTTTTTGTAACCCATACAGAACAGATTTTTCCATTACCTGATTATAAACCGGATTTCAGTTTCTTGGGATCATTTATTTAATATTTCTTCATTGTTATTTTATTTCGGTTTGAAAAACGCGATGGGAATTACGAATGTAATTTTTTTATAAATGTTCTAAAAAGTAAAAGCGTTACTGATTGAACCATATTATAATAATAATATGGTTCAATCAGTAACGCTTTTACTTATAATAATAATATGGTTCAATCAGTAACGCTTTTACTTTTTAGAACATTTATAAAAAATTACATTCGTAATTCCCATCGCATTTTTCAAATCGAAATAAAATAACAATGAAGAAATATTAAATAAATGATCCCAAGAAACTGAAATCCGGTTTATAATCAGGTAAAGGAAAAATCTGTTTCTTTAAAAAATACATTTCAATATTAATATATATATATATTATTTTTTTATTTTTTTTGGTTTCCATTTTAGCAAAAACCTTAATATAACTTATTTTATTTTTAATAATTTATATAACTTATTTATAGGATTTGTTATATCTTTTTTTTTAAATTGCGCTTTTTTTCTAATTTTTGTAAATTTGGTACTGACAGTAAACCTCAATTTGAGGTCAGATATATATTTATTGCCTATAATTAGAGAAAGTTAATCCAAATCTGTTTTTCCATTCAGTAATTAACATAGTAGATAGAGAGCGCATCCCCCTAGTCGGAACCACGTTTCAACATGTAGGACGTTTAAAAAAACTGAGTAATTATAAAAGAAGCATTACCTTTCAATGTATTCAAAAACCTAAAAATCAAATATTTTAAATAAAGTGTTTAATTTCCGTATTACCTTTTTTTCTTTACTGTTTTTTGTACGAGTATAGTCAAATCGTTATTTGCGTTGCTTTTTCCTTCCTTGCAAACACTACCTCAACTTACTAATTGAACTTAAATAAATTATTTTATATTTTATTCAGCTCTATTATGTAGTTTGTATATAAATATAAAACACTGCTTTTTTAGACATTTTCTATTTTTTTATTGTTTAATTGATAAAATTTAGGAAAATCTAAATAAATATATTAAAATATACACAAGATGAAAGAGAGAGAGAGAGAGAAAAAAAAAAAAAACTTCGGAACTCCTGCCTAAATACTTTTTCCAGCATTTGTTTCTTTAATTTAATGCTTCCTTGCTCGCATCCCTTTCCTTGCTCGCTGCACTCGCCAACCCTCGGAGCTTTTTCTTCTTTTCTTTATTTTAGTTCGAAATAGTTTCGTTTGTTAATTAGAAATTTGTGCATTTTAGTCTACACGGAGGGAAAAAATTCTGGTGAAATTACTGTACCGTATGGTAATTACATTTCTGACAAAAACAATGTAATTCTGGTTGATCAAAATATATGGTATTTACCGGAAAATTTGTGTTTTAAAATTATAGTTCTTATTACCACACATTTAGTAAAAAAATTTAAAACTAAATTTAACCGAATAAATGTTTTTTATGCCATGTTCTAAGTTATCATGATAAAATTTCCAAAGTTTACTACATTTACCAAGTTTTATTACATATTATAAAACCATATTTTATTGTTAATATTACCAAGATCATTACCAAAGTGCTGCGGTAACTTCATAGAGTCAGAAAAACGGTAAATTTTATCATATTTATGTAATTTTAGTCATACTAGTTTTTTTCTCAATATAGCTTATTACTAGAGCCCGGATTTTGATGACCTAAAAAATCCCCATTAATGCCCTTAAAAAGTGCAAAAAATGCCCTTAAAAAGTGCAAAAAATGCCCTTAAAAAGTGCAAAAAATGCCCTTAAAAAATGCGAAAAATGCCCTTAAAAATGCGAAAATTGCGCTAAAAATGCCTTATGACATGACTTAAATAAAGTAAAAATATTGAACTAAAACAATGTTTTACTCTTTAAAATTATTATGAGCCATTTAAAAAAATATAAAGCAATGCAATATTTGTTCTACGTTCATTAAGGTTTGAAAAATATGTTTTATATCCTAAAATAACAAAAAAAAGGAAAATAGATTGACTTCATTTTGTATAGAAACTTTAATGAATATAACAACTTCCATCTCATAATATTACTAAATATCAGAATTACATTGGATTATTAAATATTTTTTTGATATTTTGAAATGTAAACGAGCGTCTCTTGTCTGAAAGTAAATTTTTATACCTGTAGAAGCTTCTTTCAACGTTTACTGATGTTATTGGTGCGTACTTGAAAAAGACGGTCTCACTTACTGACAATTCTTCTGCAATTTGAAAAGATGTTGCTTCACCTGTTAATATCCTAGAGATTTCCTTCACTGTTTGGAAGCCAGTGTAATAATAAAAAATGATAAAAAAATAATAAGAATTGGAAAAAACTAACAAAAAATTTAAAAACTGTTTTAAAATGCAAAATAAGCCAACAAATTTAATGAAAAATGCCCTATAAATCTAAAAAAATGCTCTAAAGGACAAAAAATGTCCAAAAATGCAAAAAATGCAAAAAAATGCAAATGTCATCAAATTCCGGGCCTTACTTATTACGTATGATATCTTTCTTGAAATCAAATTTTGAAATTATGCAATATATACATCCTATCAAAGGTTTATTCGATAAACATTTCATTCAATTTATCATCATTATGACTTTATTTATACAAATCTAATCAGAAAATGAATCCAATTTACTTTTCCTGCTTTAATGTATGTTTGTTTGAATATCTAAATTTATTTATACAAAGTTATAAACTCCTGTGTTTGCAGATACAACATGTTTCTTTTTCTTATTTAAACACTTTTATTTTAATGAATAAAATCCAAAGAAAAATGTAAAAAAAATGTAAATAAATGAAAATGGATGATTTTGGTCGATCAATCTCGCTCCCGAAGTAATTATGAAAAATTATTAAAACTAAATATAGCTCTAAAGTATTATTGAACCTGCGTACTTTGATAAGCAAAGTTAAATCATAGATCAGTTTGTTCCTTCACGTTAACTATTAGTTTTCAACCTTATATTTCAGCCCAACTTATAGCACAATTTGTTTTCGCTTTTTGTTGTCCACGCTTAAAAGAATTTTCATTTATAACTATGCGTGTTTAACAAACATGTTTATAACTACTCACTTGCTTGATATTATATAGCAGTCGTATGTCTGTTCTCAGCCATCTGTTCAAATTGGAATATCAACAAAATACGATCGCAAAGGGTTAAAATAAAATGCGATGTATCACGATAATTGTTTTGAACATGTAAAGCAAGCTTGCCTACTTACAAATAATTATTAAATAACAATAATTTGTAAGTTGAGCAAAATTTGAAAGTTAGCCTCAATATCTACCTCGACAATTCTAGTCATAAATGGAGTATGTATATTATGGGTATGCATAGTAAGAAGTATGCATATTATGGGTATGCATAGTAAGAAGTATGCATATTACGGGTTGTAAATTTATGTATGAACGAGGGAGAAACAAAAACACAATCGAAATTTGTCAAATTTTTAGTGAAGAAATCGTTATGAAAAATACTAAAACCAGTTTGATTTCCTGATGAAACCTGTTTTTAATGATCACCTCCCTCTTTCTTCCAGAAATCCACCTGGTTTCGATGCTTGCAATCCCACCTTTCTCAGCTGTTTTTTATTTAAATTTCTATAATACTTTTGTGTTTTCCTCTTAGGAATAAAAGAAACAAAAAATTGTTCAAAAAAATGTTTATTTTGAAATAACTTTATTTTTTCAAAAGTTACATGAAGAAATGGATTTGGTTTTGAAATGGAAGTGATGAAAAATAGTAACATACAGTGAACAATGATAAATAACGATACAGTTTCACATTAAAAAACATATACAGCTGCATATTCCATTTTATGTTTATATTTTCTTAAAAATATTTTGATGATTGCTTTGAAAATCTTCAGACTTATAAAAGGCAATTTTTAAGTTTTATAAAAAGTACATAATAAAATCTTTTAAAAGAGCCTTCACTCGTGCAAGATGGATATTGGTATAAATATACATTAAAAGTTATTATAATATGTTTTCAATAATAATATACATAAATACATAACGAAATTCAAACAAATTCATGAATCGAACGACAATATGGAAACCTTATTCGCCAAACTAGAATTTAGGATTATATTTTGTTATTTTACAGTTCATGTCAAGCGTAATAAATAAACAGTAGTTAATAAGATAGATAAGTTCCGATTATATCTCAATAAAAATAATTAAAACTATTATCCCAACAAAAATAATGAGGGTTAAAATGGTTAAAAACTAGTTTACTTGAGAATGAATCTAAAAGGTTGTTCCTAACTAAATGCGAGAACATACCAGTCTCACTTAAAATAAAAAAAATATATATTGTTTTTGATGTTTTTAATCCTATCTTTTCTCTTATATGCATCTTTATCAATTAATTTTTATGCTTTTTTCTTCTCGAATTTTAATTCGTGACCTCTGATGCAAGTATTGACTGACCTCATTTCAAAAATATCTATCATGGGTGATCATTATGGAATACCAAAAATACCAATATGTTGAATTGTATAAGATGACTGAGTTAATAAATATGTTGTTTAAAATGAAAAAGTTATGAAACGATGCGTTACCTAAAATCTTATTATTGCACTCTATAAAGTATTAACATCCTATTTCGTTTTTAAAAATTCAAAATTCTGATAAGTTTGGGAAGATTACGAGAAATCTTGGCACGTGCTATATTTTTAATGTAATTAATGCAATTATTCAAATTTTTAAAGTGAATACTTTTTGCTAAAAAGTCTTTTTTTTTTAAAATTCTAATTTTTTTTTCGTTTTGTGAAATATTTTCTAAAACAATTAGTATTTTATAACAAGTTCTTGTGACATCTGGCAAATTTGATTTAATAGTAGTTTTGTAGACGGCAGTTTTGAAGAAATAGGTGGGATATGAATTTGAAAAGAAATCAAAACGAAAAACTTATGTGAAATTATTTTAAGTGCTACAAAAACATTTTAAATTCCTTACATATTTTTTGTGTCCAATACTTAATAGAAAAATATTTTTGTTTATGTTATATACAAATACATACATTTGAATCCTTGATTCAAACTGGCGGCATAGTAAAATCACGAATAATCAGTACCATGCTGCCGTTGTCCCATGTATAAATTTTTTCGTTGTCTTTGATTCATTCTTCGACCTTTCTGTTGTCTTGGTTCGAGATTCCTGAAAATAAATTGTAAATGATAAGAAAAATAAATACATTATGAGTGAGACTACTGTTTCCACACACTAGAGAGCTCGGCCAAATCTTCGCCGTAATGCCCGATCTAGGCATATATAAATATATACAGGGTTATTCATAGTTCTTTCGGCCTGTAAACGCCATTTTTCTTTACTACAACTGACTTCAGTGGTACATGTTACTGCCATCTACCGGCAACTGCTTAAATTAAAACTTGAATACTTTCGGAATAATTTCATATATTCTTTTTTACCATATTCGTCTTCTTTTTTTTAGTATAACATTTCGAAACCCCGGAGGGAATTATATATATATATATTTCATTTTGTATAGAAACTTNATATATATATATATTATTATTATTATTATTATTATTATTTTACCATGCAACTCTTTTAAAAGACAACTGTAACAATGATCAAAACGTAACTACACGTTTTCTTGAGTACGTCCCGATGGAAGTTTATAAAATTTTTAAAACGTGTAAAACAATGTTTTGAATAATTAATTCGTTTATGCACATTTTCAAAGTGATTGTATGTATAAAACTGGAATTGGCTTTATCCATGAAAGCGAAAGAAAAAGAAGTCAATTTTGTCAAAAAGAGGTGAAATCAGACACGAGACCCATTTTTTTTTATTTATATCTTAATTCTTTACTGTTTTTAGCCTTATTATTTCTGTTACTGAGACATTGTGTAGATATACACTTTAAAAATGTTCGTAGAATCTCTACATTATTTACATTTGTTAAAATTTATCAAGTTTTGCGTGAATTAAAAAACCATCACAAATTAATTTTTTTTGAATATTTAAAAAACATTCAAGCAAAGAATTCTATTTTATGTTGTTGACCGTGTTTTGGCTCTCATGATATTGAAAATTTATAATATTAAATCATATAAATATTTATTATACAAATTATAATATTAAATTATATGTATAAATATTTAATTACATAAAAATTTATTACATAAATTATAATATTAAATTATATAAATGGAGTTTGCATCAGTGAACCGCTAATTTTTTTGCATTTTTAGCGTCCAACTCAGACAAAAGACAGCTCTAAAAAATAAAAAAAAGCAATACATTCAAGTAAAAATACTGCAATACAACTGTTTTGTATTATCTTTACTTGAATATTATCTTTAGTTTAATATCATCTACTAGCATCTTTGAATTTTTTAATATTAATTTTGCCTTATGGATCTTACAAGTGTAATGACAAGTACTCAAAATACTTTTTCATTTTCTTTTGTAACTAGAATTTATTACATAAGAATTATTATATAATGTATCACGTAAGAATAGCTATATCTATATCTAAAGCTATATAGCTATATCTATACGTAAGCTATGTCTAAAGCTCTATCTATCGTAAGCTATACGTACGAATAGCTATATCTATACGTAAGCTATATCTAAAAACTGTGTTAAAAATGCTTATAAACGAGGGAAAGTTTTCTGTTCTAAACCGGTTTAATAATTTTATTACTATTCTTATTTTCGCGTGGCAGACAATGAGTTATCGGTGACATCATTAACAAAACGACAATGATAAGTGTATCAAAGCATTAAGTAACTATCTGTTTGCCTATATTTATGAAATTGGAAAAGACAAATCTATAGTCGTTATCAATTGATAAATTTGTCGCAAGATATAAGGCGTCTTATTGATCAGCATAAGATAAAATATACCTGGATAAAACCAGACCGTAAGACACGATGGCTATCTTATTGTAAGAAAAAACAACTGCAGATCTTTTAACTTTTCTTATCAAATCTATCACTGACTATCAGCTGCAGTGCTAATGGTGAAATATTATCGAAACTGAATTCCGATTCAGAATTAAACTGAACTTCCTGAATCTATGATTTTGTTTCAAAGAATAGATTTTGTCATGATAGTAGTGATAAATTAGTACAAACAATTGTTGTCAAGGATCATGAAAAGAGTGATTAAATTCACGGCAGTCAGCGTTGTTTTAAAATGACAGTATCTTTAGCTTAATTGATCTGTTGCCGCTGCTGTAGTTAATTATAATGGAAAAGTAATGATAAAACTTTGCGGAAGTGTGATTGTTGCGACATTGGCGTTCCCTATTTTTTGTAAAAGGGGAAAAAAACATTTGTCTTCATATTTGTGTTAAAATTTTCATGTTACTTACATATGCACGCCAGCCCAACAGAACCTAACAGAAACGACTCACTGTTACTGACTCAATGCCAGTAGGGGGGGGGGTGACATTCAATATGGAATCGATTGGCGAGAGTTAACAATCGTTTTAAAAGTTTTGGTTTGGGTGTCATATTAATATCTATTAAATGCTTGATATAAATAAGATTTTAAAAGCATTTAACATTTTAACTATTAACCTTTATGACTTGATTTTGATATAAATGAATCAATATATATATNTTATAATAAATTAAAAATAAAGAGAAAACATGGAAAAAATATAAAGATGTTTGAAAAGATATGAAGAAAAAAAATTATTCGAATAAAATGTTTTAAAAATAATTTTAAAAATTTAAAAAAAAATTAAAAATAAAAAATCCGGAAAAAATTAAAACATATAATCTCGTCATCATCTCACATGTGTTAATCCGCAGAAAAGAGTGCTTCCTAATATCGTATTGACATAGCCAAAGCAAAATATATCTATATTGTAGTGAGTGTATATATATATATATATATATATATAGAATAATACTTCATCTATCTCAATGGCAATGTTAAAGTTTACGTCGGGGGCGGGAGTAAACTCTAGAAATCTATATTGGGTCCAAACAAATTAACATTAAGCTTTCTAAATATTAGCCCATTCAACTATTTTGAAATTATATTAAATTATATATACGTCTATTATATAACTTTGTTGATTATATAACTTTGACTGATTTTCAGAAGTTCCTGTTGTTCGCTAATTAGGTTTTTTTTTTGGGGGGGGGAGGGGGAACTTTCTAAACTCTACATACCTCAAGTCTATTCTATTGCCTTTATGAGCTCAATGCACATATCATTTTCATCAAAAACTAAAAACAAAAAATTAGAATTAAAAAAAAAAATCTTCAAAATTAGAATTTGAAATCTCGTTTGCTTGAAATACTTGTTGAGTAAAGATTATAATTAATTAATGCATTATTAAAATATAAGTATATATAATTTTGCAGTATAATTTAGTTTTAATTAAAAATTAATTTTTTGTGTGAAATTTCCTAACAAAAGCGCTAATGGATTAATCTAAAGCGCCAGCACTGAGGACCGAAATAATTGTGAGTTTCCGTCATAACTTTCGCTGAAAAAAATATTTCGCTGAAAAGGCTGATCGGCCTACCAATATCAGAATGAGAACGATTTTATCTTGGTCCATCCATGATGGTTACATATAGTTTGGTAGCATTTATCGAATATATTTTTGTCATTTTTTAAATTTTTTTATATCTTACTATAAGGGTATAATATATTTAAGAAAGCACAAAAAGTATTTCAACTATCTTTCAAAGTTAATTTAATTTTAGTAAGAAATAAAACAAGGTTAATCATAGTATTTCTTATCATCATTTTATTATTGATTTTGCACATTTAATTAATTTTAATAATTTTTTAATGTGATATTTTGTTTTAAAAATTGATTTGTGTGTGTTGCCAGAGAGAAAATCTGAAAGATTTTGTTGGGTCGGGGGGAAAGGCTCATTTTTATTAATAAAATTAACAAAATGAGCAAAATAAATCTTATCGGTCCCCTCTACACCGAAGAGCCATTACATTATGACCAAATTACATTATGACCTCCATCTATAACAATGGGCTCTCCCAGGTTTTCATGGTTCCTCGCCCAGGAACAATGTTTTCATGAGACACAATAGGACCCATAATCCTCATAGAACAATCCCTGACGCCAGTAAGCTACTTGAACATAATTACAGACCAGGTTCACCCATTCATGGCAATAGTTTTTCCTGCGGGGGATGGTGTTTACCAACAAGATAATGCATCATGTCATAAGGGTCGAATCGTCATGGATTGGTTCGCGGAACATTTCAGTGACTTTCAAGTCATGTCTTGGCCCCCAAATTCACCTGACCTTAATCCAATAGAGCATTTGTGGTTCTACTTGGAAAACCCAATTCGTGCTGCCACTCTACCCCCTCGCAATGTGAGGGAATTGCAGGACCAGTTGGTGAGCGCTTGGTACCAGATACCTCAGACTACCTATCAGTACCTTGTGGAATCAATGCCACGACGGGCTCTAGTAGTTTTGTGGGCTAAAGGTGGTCCTATATGTTATTAGCAGGGTGGTCATAATGTAATGGCTCTTCGGTGCATAAGACGTCTTCCTATCGGGCTTTTCAGTAAGTCATCTTATCGGATCCTTCTGTAAGAATTATCTATCGAAGCATCTATCGTTTGGTTTAAAGCAGTGAAGTCTAATGCAAAGCAATATCATGCAATGTGGGAGCTCTAAGCTAAAGCTCTACGGTTAAGAAAGATACGAACGTACTCTTCAGGGTGAATAGGAAATCTGCCAGGACATATAATGATAGATCTCCATGTACTTGCTGCATGTATAGAATAAGCAGGAATAAACACGGGAGTGACTTAGTGTACGCAAGTATGAAAGGAAGAAAAAAAAAGATATACACACATAAGGAGTATTAATAAGAATAAAGTCTACCATGATAAGAATAATTAAAGTCTAAGAAAAACATACAAATGTTATACTCGTTGGCATAACATACATACTCTATATTCAAACAAAGAATTTTTTTTTGTTATGGTCTAAATCATTCGTAAATATTCTATCTACTTACTCATCATTATTATTTTTGACCATTGTTGAAACGAAAATTGAACATTTAATTTACCTATGATACTTCGTGGAAATCACATGAATAACTACGATAAAGAACACCAATTCTTTGCTATATTAACCTGCAGGAAAATTGTGACTCAAATTATTAAACAAACCCTCGAGGACATTTTATTCCCAGAAAAACTGACTCCAGTCATGAACCAACAATAGAACATGTCATCGTTAATTTATACTAATCAACTTTTAGCCTTACATTTTGAAATTTTATCTACTTTTGATTTTAGACTTCATCAACTTCTAGTCAGACTTTCACTTTTAGACATTTACACTTAGGACTTTTAGCTTTCATTGATTTTAGTTATGAGATTTTTTTTTTATCTCTTGTTTCCTTATTATTATAATCATTTAACTCTCGACATTTACACCGGCGCAATTGGATTTCATTGCCTTTAAAACATGCTTTTAATTGACAGATGTTATACTTAATCCACTTTTAGCTGATCACCACCATTGTCATTTGGCAAAATTTTACTGTAATTTTAGTTTTTAGAAAATTTTTTTACTGTAATAATTTAACTTTTATCTCCGTATACCCCCCTGGGGTGGGTTGGAGTTCAACCCATCTTAATACGATCATCTTACCTATGATACTTTTATAATTTCACATAACTTATTTCGTGAATTTTGTTTTCTTTACGTATATAAGAGTTCACAATGTATTTAAAACGAGTTTAATCAAAACCGAATATTTTTTAAAAATTATTTTTTGCTAAAACTTCTTTTTGGAAAGAAATTTGGTATCTGGTATTACACCATAATAGAGAAATTCAAAGGTGTCTTATTCCTTTACAGAATATTAGAGTACAAAATTAAACGGAAAGTTTCAGAAAAGTGTTCGATGATGCTTTTTATTTTATCAATTTCATAAAATAAGTTCATATAATCTTATGGTAGTTCATACCTGCCAACGGAAAGTTTCAGAGTGGTTGTAAAACAATAAACGAAAAACAATCTGACTCAAAAATATATTTATATTGTGAACCCGTTGAAATTCGCTTGTGCAAGGATTATTATGCTTTGATATATTTATTGTAATTATTTATATGTAGTGGTGGTAAAACTCATTTATAATTATCATTATAATTCAAAAAAGTAATTGGAATAACCTGACTATTGCTACCACTTTAAATATGAAAATAAAATCTTCCGGAAAATCCGGAAGAGTTGGCAGGTATGGTAGTTAATTTAATGTATAATTAGTCTTAATAGCTGGAAGAACTAAGAACAGAACAGAACTGATATGGCCTTGAAATAAAATACCATTTTCAGAAAATTAACTTTCTTGGGTATTCGAGAAGGTCAACATTAAAAATAAAACCATTCTGATTTTAAGACGAATTTTGAACAATGAAGCATAAATCCAGTAATTGGACAAGTTAGTTACAGTGTTCTTAAATTTCAGGTTGGCTGTGTCGGGTGAGTGCCATTACATAATTTACTGGAACAAAAGTTCAATTCTAACTTAATTCTTGCGCCGGATATTGCTAAACGTAAGTTTGCATTGAAGTGGAAGATGCGAAGTTCCATAAACATTGTTTCGGATCCCCAACCGAGACCAAGGTCAATTCGAAGAAGACCGTGACATTGAATAATGTTCTTATTCAGGAGAAAACGTCTTTAACTAATAGAATGCCGAAATTAGCTTATTGTGTTTTTATACGAGGATAAACAATGTTATACTATTATTTATCGACTCATCCTACAGCATTCTTTGTGTATGTTGAAAAGGCTTAGGAAAAAAGAAGGAAAAAAAATAAACGTTTATTTGAGAAACTTATTGAGAAGATTGTAAAGACAAAAGAGAAATCAACTGTGATAAATTGGTAGGAAAATATAATAGTTAGTTAATAACTAACTAGTTATTTTTATATTTAGTTATTAACCATTAGAAAGTTCGACTAGTTTTATTGACGTGAATCTTCCATTTTAACTTGTTATTATGAGACACATGAACAGCTTATTTAAATAGAATTGGAATGGTTATAAAAAGAGAGAATGTAAAAATATATATTCCATATATTACTTTAATTAGTTATTACCCTGAACAGCTAAATAGTTTATAATTCATAGCTACTAGTAAAAATGAATAATTTGAAGAAGACCTAACTAATTCACTGAATTAACCACATCTATGAATTAACATTGATTGTAATATATCTATCTAATACTTTTGAAAATGGCGAAGTCCTACCAACCAGTATTGACAGTTTGTGGAGGATGGTCTCGAAACACCGTAATTCGATCTTTTTAAATCATGACTGTAGATGAATCAATAACTTTTTTTTTGGAGGGGGGGAGGTCATAAAAGAATGTTTAAAAATGAATATATTGTAAAATGAATAACGAAATCCCTATTTAACATTAGATTTTAGTCAATCAAAACTAGCTTTGAAAGTCATTTTCTGTTCCATCTTCTTCAATTTCTCTACCCTGTAGAAGTTATTAGTATGAACGTATTTCAGTTTTGTCCAACAAATAAACTGGTTTGTTAACTCTAATTCGATCCTTTTCGACAATCTTTTTATTTCGTTTCTTATTACTCGCTACGCATTATTACTTACTTATTTTTGCTAACACGAAAGTAGGTAAAGTTTAAGCATAGTTTGTCGATAGAAAGAGCTCTCCTTGTCGCATTGTCTAAGGCTGCCTGCTGCTATGGAAACAAGACACAGCGCATTTCAAAGAGAAGAGTTTCTCTCTTCCTTGATTCCCTATTTCCCACCGACTCGAGCCAAAATGTGCATTAAAGTATTAAATATTGACTCAACATTCCTACTAGAAATAGTTAAACCTCGTAACCATAGTCACCGCCACTGTCCCAGACAAATTGCAAAGGAAGTTCTTTGCATAGACAGACAGAATATATATATATATATATATATATGTATATATATATATATATATATGTGTGTAGATATATATGTGTATATATGTATATATATACACATA